TATTAGAGAGAGAGAGAGAGAGAGAGAGAGAGAGAGAGAGAGATTAAGTGCATGTGAATACCTGCGTCTATGCATCTCTCAGCAGCGTTCAGCAGTAGCGTCTACTAATAGCGAATCTTTAAGTTAAACTCCTTCATGAACCTTGCTACTGAGAAATGTCATGTAGCTGACAAGAAGCTTCTGTTCGCGTCTCCGCGAGTGCGTGTCTGCACTGTGTGTGCGTCTGTGAGAGAGACTGGGAGAAAGAAAGCGTGATTTCCGTAGCCTACATAAAAAAGGTGGAAGACATGGAAATAGTTCATCATTTTTTACCCTATTGTTTGTTATATTTATTTGCTCAATGTCTTCTGGGGTTTTGGTTCTCTTACTGTTGTAGCCCAAAGTATAACAAAAATATTATATATCTCTTCATTGTGTTTGGGCCCACCCTGGACGAGCGAACATAGGCACGTGCCTAGAATGCCTATGCGTAAATCGATCGGTGTATTACAGTACCACGAGAGCTAAAGAGAGCAGACTGCTCCGTGCGCTTTCGAATCGCTCTCGCGGATGTCGATCTGCGCCGCACCTCTTCTAGTCGAACACACCGGCTAGTGCTGCAGGCTTATTGGCTCACTGACGCTGATGAGATTAACCCCTTAGGTATCGAAATTTGGTACCGAACGACGAGATGGTATCAAGGCAATTCGGTCGGTGCCTAAAAAGTATCGAACTCGATACCCAGGCCTAGTAGCAAGTGTATGTTTGATTGTGTTTTGCATCACCTGGACTGGATGCTGAGAGAGTTTGTAGATTTCTCTAGCAAGTGGAAGTATCTCTGGGTCCATGACGAAGTAGAGAGTGTGCATGAGACTCAGAAAACCAGTTCCCCTTAGATCTGTAGCAGGGTCTGAACCTGGGAATATAAAGGTCACGCAAAAACAAATATTATAAACAGGTGAATTTTATTTCATGACATCATGAAAATAATTAATTACCTTGATTTTTTTTGTTTAGGCAATTTAAGCATAGGTGCTTTTTTGCTGTACCTTGAAAGCCCACATTCTCCCAGTGTGGTCCATAGCGAGGGCAGTCAGCTCGGGTACAGGTCAATTTCCTGTAGATGGTCTGGAGTACACGCATGTGAACTGACTGGCCATTATCCAGAGAACCTACAGAATCACAAAGACATCATATGTAAGACATTTAGGCAGTTACCATCTAAAAAAAACTTAGAGGGGTCATAAAATCAAAAATCTAAATGTCCTTTATATTTACACATAGAAGAGGGTTACTCTACAATAAAAAAAATACTGCAAATACTACTTATCTGTACAGCACTGAGACCTATCATCTCTATTGCGGTTACACGCTCATGTGACGTTGCTGTGTTACGTGATCACGAAAACTTGCACACGTTTTTAAACATTGCCGTTTGAAGTGATTTTAAGCAGTTGAAATACAATCAGCAGCAAAAATCTACTCATTTCGCTATATGCGCATGGTCTGCGAGACTGTTTCTGAGCGCTGTCAGAGAGGTGCGCGCACATGAAGACACTGCTCATTGAGTGCGGGAGTATTGAACAGTTATTTTTGCCACTTTACAGGCCTTGAATGGTTAAACACACACTTGTGTGCGTCAAAATGCCCATCTTAGCAAGTATCCTCATAAGCACAGTAATTTAGGTTTTAAAGCAAACAGCTGAGAAAGAAAACATGTGTTACAGTATATCGGCTCAGGGCAGCTCTTAAAAGTGACAGCAGCCTAATAATCCTGCTATCTGTCATTCATGTTAATCAAATAACAAAAGACAGAAAATCTCTCACTGCTCTTGACTAAATCACGTTTGTACTTTAATAAGAAGAAATATATATTTAATTTACACAGTGAAGAATATGTAAATATACTTCACCATCCAGCTAGGATAATAAAAAATAATTCCATCAAGTTCAGGTTAATCGTTGATAACCAGCTGACCTTCAAAGACCACATTGCAAGGACAGCACGATCATGCAGGAAGATCGGGCCCTTCCTAACAGAACATGTTTCAGAACACAACTTCTTGTCCAGGCCCTTGTGATTTCTAGGCTGGACTACTGCATTGCTCTTCTGCCTGGACTTCCATCATGTGCACTCAAACCTCTACCAATGACTCAGAACGCAGCAGCATGACTGGTCTTCAATGAGCCCGAGAGCGCCCATGTCACACCTGTTTATCTTTCTGCATCGGCCACCATTTGTGGCTTGCATCAAATTCAATACATTGATGCTTGCATACAAAACAGCCACAGACTCTGCACCGTTCTACCTCAACTTACTCTTATGAGTCTACAGCCCCTCCAGAAGCCCACAGTCGGTAAGTGAGCGATGCCTCATGGTACCATCACAGAGAGGCACAAATCATTTTTGTTCACTGATCTTTGCTATTGCGAAGATCCTCCCAACCCTATCCGGAATGATAAATCCCTGACAACATTCAAGAGACAGCTGAAAACTCATCTCTTCCATCAGCACTTAACGGTGTCCTGCTGAAAAATTACTTCCTCTATGCTTCGACTTTTCCTTAAATCTTAATTCTGTTCTAGCTTGAATTTTTCCGGATATTTTAACTGATTTATCAACACTGGAAAGCAAGTTATCCATTGGAGAGTTACTAAAGAAATTAATGTAGTCATAGAAATAAAGCATGTAGCTACCTGACTTGTCAAGTCACATGTTCTACTCACACTGTGCAATGGCAAACACTAAGTCTCTCTCCTCTACAAGGTCTTTGTGTATCCGAGGAGGACCGAACAGGAAATGGCTGATGGCGGCCAATCCAGTCCTGCGAATGGTGGGCTGAATGCTCTTCTAATAGAGGAGAAGAGCAAGTACAAGACAAAGAAAATAAGAAGAGAGTAAATGACAACTGTATTCTCCTGCTGTGTGAATGTAGTCATAGTGTATAGTTACTTAAACTTACAAGCAGGTCTCCAAGATCAGTGGTCTGAAAATGCTGCAGAGCCTCATTGAAGGAGATCAGTGGTGATGGAGTGAGATCCTCTGCAAGAACTACACAAGTGAAACACACTGTTTACTGACAAGAGTCCACACAATGCAAATTTGCTTCATAAACATGAATATGACAATGTCCATTTCGAAGTATTTTTTGTGTACTGAAGGATCATGAAATGTAATTTCTGACTGGTTGTGTGGAACTGATCCTCTGCTAAGCCCCACTGTCACATTTGCATGTTGCCTACCTGTTTGCGCTTTACTGCTTCTGTCAAACACGGCGCAAGAAGCATTCACACTGAGTGAATTACCTTAAAGGGGTCATCGGATGCCCATTTTCCACAAGTTGATATGATTCTTTAGGGTCTTAATGAAAAGTCTATAAAATACTTTGGTTAAAATTTCTCAATAAAAGTGTAAAAAACACAATTTTTACCCTGTCAAAATCAGCTCTGTTTTCAGCAAGCTGTTTTTAGTCCATGTTGCTTCAAATGCTAATGAGCTCTGCTCACTCAGCTCTGCTCTGATCACGAATGATTCACACGAACATAGACACATTTAGGTAGATCGAAGGACACATTCCCTTCAAAAACAAAAGTAACGTTAATCCTCTGCAAGTAGGTTGCTTGCTCCTTCAGCGGCTCAGATGTCGGGAGTAAATGACTGCTATATTCATTATTACATCCAACAACAAAACACCTCAATCTCTTAATCAGAGACATTCTTGTCTTGCCCTGCACCGGAGTTGACACAATGGCGGACTGATGACAGCTCACTCAGGGTGGGTCTAAGGTAAGACGGACTTGTCCATCAAGTATTCTAGGAGGGGCCTGTGCAGAACTACGTCATTCGGACAGGAATCTCAGAACAGCGTGATTTGAGAAAGGGGGTTTAAAAAAAAAAAAAACACTGGGTTGATTTTTATCATTATAGGATAGATGTGTACACACACTTCCAACACACATTTATGTTCAAACAACTTGTAAAGTGAATTTTGCATCCGATGACCCCCGAAATGTCTGGATCTGCGCATCTGAAACACTGTTTGAGTGATTACATTATACGTTTCCGTAAGATGTACTGTATCTTTCAACATACCTTCTATTTTTATGCTAAATCTTGTATTAAAGTGGAAGAGACTCGCGCTTAACCAGTCGTTTGAATTGAGGTGCTACAGCATTCTGTCATACCACATTTGAGAGCATCAAAATGGCATTTATTATTTCAATTCTGGGATAAAAACACGGACCTGGCAACCCTGGTTTGAAATATGGGTGATTCAGGGATTAAACAGAACCTGCGTTAACGGTGCTCTTTTTTAACAGTTAAAAAACTGTGTTCAAGTGAGATTGCACTAATGCGTTATCACATTAACTTCAACAACCCTAAATTCTACACAAGAGATGTTTTCTATTCACGCAGTATGAGCAGCAGTATAATGACATGTTTTTTCTGCCCCCTTTTGATTACTGGATGATACATTTGTGCAGTTTAATTAGTGTTTGTAAGGAAGCACTGTATTGATATTTCTCAAACATTTTGGTTTGTTCTAAACCTCTATTTTAATTATTTATTCAACCTGAACTGCTTAACATACACACTCCACTTTCGATTGGCTTAACAGAGATTCTCAGTCACATTTTTTCAGTTTCAGAGCGGTTTATGGTTCAGTTTATAGAGTCAACACAGGTGTGATATTTAATGACACCTAATTCATATTTTGTGGGGGCCTTAACATAAAAAAAATCTCCTCCTCCACTTTCAACACAACACATACAATTTATATGTGGACTGCTGTCAACATATTGTGCTGTAAAATTATTGCCCATTTGTTGCCCAGATATCTCATCAAGAGATGCCGATGCTCCAGATTGTATCTGACAGTGATCAGGTTTCGTAATGTATCTATTTTAGCCAAGGAAGTGATGCCATCTCTCCAGGGTAGGGGCGTATGCTTAGTCACGGTGATGTAATGTGCTCAGTATCCAGGCTGACAGGACATTGTTTCCATGGTGACAAGGTAATTGGTCTCACCTGGTTGGATGCTCTCCAGGGCATCCCACTCCTCTTGTGCTCGCTCCACCTCCAAGCTCACCTCTAGACAGACAAAATCACACACACATTGTTGTTGAACTGTTGAACTACTGACATCATTCTGTGTAACATTGTTTCTGAGTGATGAAGTCTTTACCTTCTGTTTTAGTCTGATTCCCTCCTGCTGCCAGAGACTGTAAGAGCCCATTCTGTTTCAGCGCTGAGATCTACACAAGTTCACACCATTACCATTACTATTCAAACTAGGAGCACAGAACATCATGTGACTGTAAGTGAAATACTCACTGGGACAGTTTTGAGATAAGGGTTGCCATTCAAGTTGCCATTGTCTTTGATGCCATTACCTGGAGTCAGTCCATTTAGGATCTATAAAAAATCCGAAACACATCAACAGGAAGCAACCGTGATACATGCAGATATTCACAAGACCTGGTTTCAATGAACATATTTTAGCGGCGTTTCTCACAGTTGTGCATTTGGAGTGCCCATTTGTTAGATCCTCTGTCTGTTTACATTCTTGTGGAAAACCATTCAAGCCCTAAAAGGAAGAAATCAAAATACATATATATATATATATAAACATCTATATTGCTAATATTATTCCTTCCCTTGTTTTTGAAAAGCTACCACAAATGTTTAAAATTCAACTGCATTTGAAACATAATACATCTGAAATGAATTACCATAAACTGAATTCACAAAAGTGCACACTGCACACAATTTAAATTTGTGTAATTGCCTTTGCACTTTCATGTATAACAATGTACTACGTATACCAAATTTCAAAAAGAAAGGAAATATCCATTCAAAGCGGTACTGACAAATAGATTATATTTACACTTATATGCACTGTACAAATGTATTACAGTGCAGTGTACATTGCCTATAATTTAGACTAGATCTCCCTAGTCAGTGTAGTTGCCATGTTGTGAAATTCCCTCGGTGCTGTTTGCTCCCAGGGTGAAACAAAGAGAGGAGGTCTAAAGGATAGTATAGCAGCTGCGTCACACCTGTTAGGAAATGTATAATGCAGCATCAAATGTATTTATGCATACCCCAATATTACTAAATCAGCCCTGAGCAAGTATAGTACAGTACAGTAGCTTTTTCATAGAGTAACAGACTAAATTAACTTCTCAGTCTTCTCTCAGTTTCATTCAGTAATCTCCAACTCATAAATTCCTTATGAGAAATAAAAAAAGTATGAAATTTATAAAATTAGCAGTTCAGATTAGACTTGTCACAACATATTGATGATAACAATGATTTAAAAAAAAATGTAAATATGGATATCATGTTAATACTACACATATGATAATATCGTAAATAATCAAGAGCCAGTAACTACTGGGTTGTCACTCCAACATAGTACGTGGTGTTACTGCAGAAAAAGAAAGCAATGCATTGCGTAGCTACTATTGCTGCATAAAATCATGTCGGAGGAGAGACCTACATCCCCAAAAAAATTATATTGCAAATGTGGGAGTTTTTTGGATTCCATAAAAAGACTTGTTGTTAGACCAGTGTTTCCCAACCCTGTTCCTGAAGGCACACCAACAGTACACATTCTGGAGGTCTCTTAACTAGTGGTCGACCGATATATCACAGGACACACATGGTTCAAGAGCACTTTTAACGCTTTCAGAAGCACTTGCTCCCAGTCCAACAAGCGTGGATTTAGACTAAAACAGCAGAAGAGCTTTCAGTAGTGCATTGTTTAACTGCACCGCTTCTGGAGATTCAGAGAGGGGCTGGTAGAAACAGAGTTGGGCCAAGGAGCAGAAGCATAATTTGAATAGTAACAAGCCTGAGGTTAGTTTCGAGTGGGATCGTGCAGCGAGTTGTAAATCATGATGGCCTTGTTGGAGATGGATTTCTCAAGTCCGTCGAGTGCTAATTGTACCAGGCCTGTGCTACGTCAATGGGCGAGCACTAGGCTTGCAACAAGTCCACTTATGTGAGATTGGAGAGTTGCAAATGAAGTAGAAATCAAGAAATAGATTGGGTACAGCAGTGATGAAGCTGTCAGTGCCTCTGTATTGAAGACAAAATCTCAGCAGAAAGCAGAATGAAATTCAGACTTGGAGGATTGGTGGCTTGTTACAGGAGTCTTTCACTAAAAAGGGAGTTTATTGATGGCTTGGAGGAATAGTAACGTCTCCACCGACAGCAACGTCTGAATGAGTCTCTGTAGGATACACAATCATAAGTATTAGAATATGCAAATGGTATAATAATCCCATTGTAATTAATACTTTAAAATGCATATGCAAATGCAAATGCAAACATCAACATGTGCAAAATACATAGGCGTGCATGCACTCTCCAGCTTTCATGATGAAGCAATGCAAAGGAGCAATGCACAGAAAATCGGCATCCGAAAAGCATGACGTCATGCGATCAAGTCCGCATCCCTTTGAAATCGCAATAAATGGAGACCATCGATACGATCATCAATCACCACAGATGAAATCTCACACGCTCCCTTTCGTGTTGCAATGGCTTTAACGTGCAGCCAGGCTTCACACGACCGATAACTGAACCTCATGCATTCACCAGCGGAGGAGAGGTGACTGACTCCAGAGCCTGAACTAAACATAACAGCGACCATAAACGACAGACGACTCCAGAGCCTGAACTAAACATAACAGCGACCATAAACGACAGACGACTCCAGAGCCTGAACTAAACATAACAGCGACCATAAACGACAGACGACTCCAGAGCCTGAACTAAACATAACAGCGACCCTAAACGACAGACGACTCCAGAGCCTGAACTAAACATAACAGCGACCCTAAACGACAGACGACTCCAGAGCCTGAACTAAACATAACAGCGACCATAAACGACAGACGACTCCAGAGCCTGAACTAAACATAACAGCGACCATAAACGACAGACGACTCCAGAGCCTGAACTAAACATAACAGCGACCATAAACGACAGACGACTCCAGAGCCTGAACTAAACATAACAGCGACCATAAACGACAGACGACTCCAGAGCCTGAACTAAACATAACAGCGACCATAAACGACAGACGACTCCAGAGCCTGAACTAAACATAACAGCGACCATAAACGACAGACGACTCCAGAGCCTGAACTAAACATAACAGCGACCATAAACGACAGACGACTCCAGAGCCTGAACTAAACATAACAGCGACCATAAACGACAGACGACTCCAGAGCCTGAACTAAACATAACAGCGACCATAAACGACAGACGACTCCAGAGCCTGAACTAAACATAACAGCGACCATAAACGACAGACGACTCCAGAGCCTGAACTAAACATAACAGCGACCATAAACGACAGACGACTCCAGAGCCTGAACTAAACATAACAGCGACCATAAACGACAGACGACTCCAGAGCCTGAACTAAACATAACAGCGACCATAAACGACAGACGACTCCAGAGCCTGAACTAAACATAACAGCGACCATAAACGACAGACGACTCCAGAGCCTGAACTAAACATAACAGCGACCATAAACGACAGACGACTCCAGAGCCTGAACTAAACATAACAGCGACCATAAACGACAGACGACTCCAGAGCCTGAACTAAACATAACAGCGACCATAAACGACAGACGACTCCAGAGCCTGAACTAAACATAACAGCGACCATAAACGACAGACGACTCCAGAGCCTGAACTAAACATAACAGCGACCATAAACGACAGACGACTCCAGAGCCGAAGTATTGATCGATCATTAACGCTATATTGGAAACCAGCGACACCAGCTCCAGATGCGGCACAGCATGAATATGTGACAGCATGCAGTGAACTGTCAAACACCTTCACAAAACACACACTAACCGTTATTATACGGAGACGTGACTCTATTGATTACACGTAACGCTCTTGAACTGAAGCAATCGCGATATATTGAGCACAGGAGATTTATCTGACGGCTAACAACAATAAAGACCAACAGAAAACTGACCAACTTACTCACATAATAGCAGTTATTTCTGCCACAAATAACGGAACATTTCAGCCCTCCTCCTCGTTCCCTTCAAGTTAAACGAGCAACACGACCCGCTCACGTCTACCTCTGCCGTTACTGTAGGTATTTCTGCTCGACTAAACATGTTATTTACTCTCATTTCTGTCAGGGACTGTGAAGCGTCGGTCTCGCGACCCGCTCGAGCTGAACTGCCTCAATCTTCTTGTACTCTCGCTTCTAGCTTAGCTAACTTGCCTAGAATTAGTCTTTTACGACACAGGATCCACCAAAACGTGCAAACAACGCAGCGTTGCCTTTCTTAACTGCCATTTACACATTTGTCTCGTTGCTAGAATGATAGGTATTAAATATTAGTTGCACATTTTTACCTCAGTTTGTCTCCCTCCAATCTCGGCTCCCCCCCCCTCCCTTTTCCACAGGCTCTGAAAACCCCGACGCCTTGTGGGAACTGTGGTTCTTCTGCTGGAAATAGACTTCCGGTACTGTAGCAGCCCTTTAGTCACGCTCTAAAGCTTGTTTGTTGGTTTTGTTTTCATGAAATTTCAGTGACAGTAATACATCTCTGAATTCTTGTATAATTATGCAATTTTATAACGAGATATTTTTAAGATTGGACATGGAATATTTTTCTATTTTAACAACTAACTAAATAAATAAACACAGGCATAGTTTATGATTAAATGCCTTCGACTCAAAGACCTTTACTGAGACAAATGTCATCTTTTGTTTTGTTGAAATTTCAAACAGTGACAGCAGTACTCTTTTTTTGGTTACTCTTTCTGTTCCTAATACTCATCCTTTCAAGGTTTAACTTCTAAAACCTATTTGCATACACATCCTTTCCTGATTACTGCATGTTACAGAAGAATGGAAAAGAGAGATAAAATAGAAATAACTAGCCTAGCAATGAATAAATTGAGCTTGTTAAGATAAGGGTGCTAGTGGAAGCCTTGATCGGTGTCCTGATCCAGTCTAGATAGTTTACTAATGCTTCAGCTGGAACATCGTCTGCCGATTAACAATATTCAACATGTGTCTTTCAGAAATGTCCCAAAACTGTGGACGCAGAGGGGTCATTTGTACAACTTCTGCTTTGAAATTCATTTAAAATAATTAGAATTGGCCCACTGCGTCGGAAAATATGAAAAACATTAGAGAGGGGATTGCGGCCCGCCTTTGGCCAGAACATCAGTGTTTACCTAATTTCCTGCTTTGTGCAATGCTGGCTCAGTCGGACCTTCAAGCTGAGAAGTTCCCAAAACACATGCGAATAACCAAACACCTCCTTGCTTTAGCAAACCCGGGCTAATCCACTCCAGACGACAAGACATTTTTATGGACTGAGTTTCTGGCTGCAATACGAGTCACATTCCCTTTCCCGGGGGCAGTTTGCTTGAACATCGGTGAGACGTTAATGGGCATAACTGACTCAAAATGTTGTTTATATAACTGGCTGAGTGGCCTGCCAAAGTATGTAGATGAAGCTATTTTCCTTACTCAATCTGCAGATTGAGGCTTCGGTCATAATTTGTGCTCCTTCTTGTGTTACACATGTAGGAAAACGAACCCAGTGAACAACAAAACAGACCGATACTGTAGTTTGTCATTTTAATAGCTTTAATGAATATTCACTTAGCAGACATCCTTTCCTAGGGTGATGCAATAATAATATTAACTTAAAATAAATACTTAAAAAAAAAATTTTTACAAACAATGATAAAATAGGAACTAATAAGCCCAATAATTAATGGTCAGTGGTGTTCTGCAGAAGTATACGAGTGAATAAAAGGACGTTCAAGCCACAAAATGAAGGTGACAGAGGAAGTAGACTGAGTTTATCCTCGGGTTGAAATCGAAACTTACTAAATCTCCACTGGAATGACCCAGCAACCTCCAGCATCCATTCTTAGTTATTACAGTTCTGTGCAAGTGAAAACATTTTAAATAGAGTGGCTTGAACAAAGAGCAGCATATTGTTTTGATGAATAATTTAACTTCTGTGACATTTTTACAAGTGTAGGCTGAAATGGGAGTGATGGCTTTGGGTGGGTCAAGCTTGACCCTGAAAAGAGTCACTCTTGTTATGGCATCTTTTTTTTAGGGTATAAATGTGGACGTCAGCAGACAATGGCAGCTTCCACACCACCATTGGATGCCATTCTGTGCCTGAGATGGTTTGCGAAATCCACCTGGGTTTGCGAAAGTACTCGGTTGATGACGGTTTTTGGGATCCAACCCTGGAGATGACAGAACAGGGACAAACCAGACATTAGATATGACATTCAGTTAGCTTATTTGGAAGAATAGTGTTACACTAAACCTTTGCTTATGTAGATCTTCCACATTAAATGCCATTTAAAGCATTATCTATTAAATAAGAATTTACATTTTTGGGTGAACTATCCCTCTAAAGGCAAAGTGTGTCATTTTTTAAGACAATGGAGCAAACCTAATTGCAAAAATAACGGTTTCTAACAGATTTCCTGAAAACTCCCTCAATTAGTTAGGATAAGAGTCAATCTTTCGGTGTTAGCCTCAAACAAACAGAGCGATTTCGATTGTTCCAACAGTGCTAGG